AACTGGCATTTGTCTAGCTCCTGGAAAAAAATAACCTCTGAGCCCTTGTAATATCCCGCCTGATAAGACTCTATATACTTGAGATATTGGGCCACACCAGATAGCTAATGCCAATAATATGATTTATGATGAATGCCTCTTTTTTTTTTTCCCATTCACCTAGGGTCCTGGTCCACATTGTATCAGTTTGACCTGTGCAAGCCTGGAGACTGAGTAGCTAAGGTCAGTCACAATGCATTCCATGCCCACAAGACTGACACCAACACCCCCAAACCCCCGCCAATAAAAATTCTGGACACCAAGGCTCAGGGGAACTTCCCTAGTTGGCAATACTTTGTATGTTGTCACATATCATTGATGGGAGAATTAAGTGCATCCCTGTGTAATTCCAGTGCAAGAGGACAACTAGAAGCTCATACCTGGTTTCTCCTGGACTCTGCTCTATGTGCATTTTTCCTTTGCTGATTTTAATCTGTAACCTTTCACTGTAATAAACCATAACCATGAGTATAACAGCTTTTCTGAGTTCTGAGTCCTTCTGGGGAATCATCAAACCTTGAGGGTAGTCTTGGGGACTCTGACACAACTCCCAATGCTGTTTTCCATTTTCCTGCCCACACTGTTCCTATTTTTAACCTCATCCCTCACTACTCCACTACAGGTAATTAAGATGTGATTACATTTTCAGGGGGGGGGGCTGTTTGAAAGTTTCTATTTCCTTATATATGTTGCAATGGCATAACAAAAATACCTGATCATTCCAAAATAGAATGAAGAAAGGAATTATAAGGGTATTCAAAATATCCTTTTGAATCCCAGACCATTTACCAGTTATTGGGCTCCTTGCTCAACGGGGAGCTTGCTTCTCCCTCTCCCTTTGGCCCTTCCCCTGCTTGTGTTCCCTCCCTTGTTGTCTCCCTGTCTGTCAAATAAATGAATAAAATCTTTGGAAAAAAGTACTAAAATAAAATTTACTGCAAATTAATTAATTATTCTATCACATCTTAAACAATTATTTTGGAAATAGTGCTCCAGAATTTATGCAGTAAGGCCAGAAGCATTCTCACTGAAGGTGAAAAGGAATAGCACTGGATAAAGTATGTTTCCATGTAATGAAGTAAATCATTACAAGGTCCTGGATAATAGCATGATTGAGTAGTTGTCACTTATTAAGAACCACAAGTGACTTGAAATCTAAGTACCAACTTCACAGAGATGGCAGATTAGTCCACATATTAGAATGGTCAGAGAGAACTTTAAAATCCTACCAAGTCTGCATCAAACACAGGCAAGGGACTGAGACAGAAGGACAGGATGAAAACACAAATTTCTATAGGGGAAATTATTGTACCCCTTTTTTGTTAGCATAAATTAAAGATTTTATTTATTTGTCAGAGAGAAAGAGAGAGAGAGAGAGAGCGAACAAGCAGTGGGAGTGGTAGGCAGAGGGAGAAGCAGGCTCCCTGCTGAGCAAGGAGCCTTATGCAAGACTCCATCCCAGGACCCTGGGATCATGACCTGAGCCAAGGCAGATGCTTAACCGACTGAGCCACCCAGTGTCCCTGGTTAGCATAAATTAGTGTAATAGATAGGAATATACACCTAGTCAGATACTTAAGAATGAATCCTGTGTATCAGTATCTCCCATGTGTGCAAATTGCTGTTTTTCTGTCTCACAGGAATACTCATAAGTAATACAGGATTGATGTGCATGTACTGCTTTCCAAACTTTGAACAACTACAATAAAAATGTGCTACAGTATAATGATTGCCAAGATTTCTCTGGAAAAATGTATGATTTCTTTTCTACAGCCAACTTATTTAATGGTTGTACATGTAAGATGTTGCCACTCATTAAAAACAAGGGGAAGAATGAAGAAAGTTAAAGTGCAGAGTTGAGTTAGTTTCAGCTGACTACTGCTTTTAGTGGTGAGATGTTCCTTTTTGGTTAATATAAATACAGTTTGGTATTAGGATATGACTCAATGACAAAGGACATACTGAATTTAAACAACATAAACAGCAGATAGGGCACAGTCCCATGGAAACTGTTAAAGATAGCAAAGGATGTGGTTACTCTATGTTAATAACATTTACTTAGTCATGTGAAGGCCAAAAGAAGGTAATATAATCGGTACATGAGAATTCATTTGCTCTCTTTATATTTCCTGTAAACTTTTAGAATCATTATGTATGTAATAAGATGAATAATATATAATATATATAATGTATAATATATAATGTATAATATGTATAATGTACAATAATATGATATATAATGTAATATAATGTATCATTATGTAAGGAAAAGAAATCCCTTCTGAGGCATAACAAAATAGGCACTGAATAAATTTAAAGTGGGTTGTGACAAAAACAAATACCTACCAATTTGCTAAATTATATAGAAATTTGGGGAGATTTGTAATTCTCACTCACTCTTTATGGGAGGAGGGTTTGATTTAAAGTCATTTAGCCAGTCATGGTATCTTTTTGCTTTAAAATGTAGCACACAGAATTAAATAACTTTACACCTGATATCCTCAAAGAACAACCTCAAATAAGAAATTCTTCCTGTTAACTTAACAAGATCAGTGGTAGGACCCTAACAGCTACAAATGGTCATGGCTTGCTTCCCTTGAACTGGGAATGGGGATTTTTTTTTTTTTTTGCTCTTAAGATCTAGTGAATCACAGAAGAAAACCCTGAAAATCACAAATAAGAAACACATACTATTTAATTTTCAGAGCTAAACATAAGCTGCACATATAAAGAATTATAATTTAAGAAAAGGCAAAACAAAACCATCCTTAGTTTCTTTCTTTCTTTCCTATACTATGAGGTGTTAAAGGAAAGATGGGTAAGAACACAGAGAGAGATAACCATGGGTACAGAGGTAAAGAGAGATGTCACCGGGGAAGGCCAAAGTCAGAAAGGGAAGGATAAAGGGAGAGATAAGAGAGAGAGGTAGACAAATTGCTGAATGTGTGCTGCTAGGTATGGGACTAAAAAGGGACATACATACAGAGCCCACAATAGACAAAGACAAAGACATTTAGAATAGAATGGCAAAGAGGGACATAAACATGGGAGTCTTTCTTTACCACTACTACTCGAACTTCTACCAATACCTAAATTTGAGGTTTTAAAGAATCACTGGTGTGATGACGATATTATAGTTATGATTTTTAAATCTTTATTTTCAGATTAGTTGCTGAAATACTCACGGGTGAAATGATACGATGTCTAGAATCTGTTTCAAAATAACCTGGTGTTGGGGTGGAGAAGAATAAAGTGGATGGAGGATTAGCCTTGAGTTGACTAATTGTTAAAGCTGGTGATGGGGGTTCATTATACTATTTTCTCTACTCTTGCACTGGTTGAAATTTGGCCTAATAAAATTTTAGGAATTTCTTTTAAGTATAATTAAGAAAATCAAGGATTTGGGGCGCCTGGGTGGCTCAGTAGTTAAGCGTCTGCCTTTGGCTCAGGTCATGCTGAGATCGAGCCCCGCATCGGGCTCCTTGCTTGGCAGGAAGACTGCTTCTCCCTCTCCCATTCCCCTTGCTTGTGTTCCCTCTCTCGCTGTCTCTCTCCCAAATAAATAAATGAAATCTTAAAAAAAAAAAAAAAGAAAATCAAGGATTAGGTTAGATTGGGTTTGTTTGTAAATTTATCAGGCCACTAAATCAATTTAATGTATAAGATTAAATCTATCAGGTGGAAACAAGATTTGGTAGTACTTAAGTTGAAGAGACGAAACATGACAAATTTAGAGCAAGTATAAGAAATTTAATATACAGTTCTTTAAAAAAATGATAATTTTGAAAATCCTGACTTGCCTGAATCTGACAAAGATCTCTTCATAAAATGTGAAGCTATGGAATGAGGATCATTAAACAAACTTTAAGGCTGGTAGGCTCATCCAAAAACACTCATTTTAATGTTGGCAAGGCCCAGATTGAGTTAAGCGACTTATCAAAGCTTTGACTTTTCTCCCACATGCCTATTAATACTAAGTATAAGTTTTTGTATATAGTTTTCCTGATATAACTCCAAGCATTTTTCTATATTAGTATGTCTTTTGTAATAATGATTTTTAATGGTTGTTTAATATTTCATAGAATAAATATAGTTCACTTATTCATTCTCCTATAATATGGCATTCATATTATTTCCAACTCTTTATTTCTATGAAAGACACTGCTTTGAACATATTTATATTTAAAAATCATTATGGTTAGAATTGCCATAAAAATCATATTTGATTTTTTCAGAAGATAAAACCTTCTAATGGAAGCCTTTTCATCTTTTGGAAATCTGTTAAGGGCAAAATAAAGTTAGATTCTCCATTTTCTCTATGGATCCAGCTCACAGAATAGTCAAAGTGACAGGATGTAGAGAAGAGTTGAAGACTATTTTGAGGATTGTTTTGGGCAAAACAAGGTTTATATTGGTAGAGAGAGAAAAAAAGTTTTTTAAGATTTTATTTATTTGAGAGAGAGAGCGAGCGAGCATGAGTGGGGGGAGGGGCAGAGGGAGAGGGAGAAGCAGACTCCTCACCAAGTGCAGAGCCCCTCCTGGGGCTTGATCTCAGGACCCCAAGATCATGACCTGAGCAGGTCAGACCTTTAACCAACTGAGCCATCCAGGCACATGAGAAAAAAAAAATTTTTAGCCAGAATTATACTCTACCTGTTGAAAAGCTTTTTCTGCTTGACGTTCAGCATCAATAACTTGTCTCTCAAGCTGTTGCATCTGTAAAGTGAGGAAAAACAGAGAAAATATAAAAGTTCATATTTCACGTATGAAAACGACTGAAAATTCTTGCAATGTCATCAAATTCTTTAAGGACATTTAAAGTAGTTTAATGGATATGAATTACCGTTAAATTACCATTACCCAGGCGCCCCATAAAAACTCTGGGTAGTTTGAATTCGTATTATGCATTGTCGTAAAGTACAGAAGAGACTCTGATTTAACACACACTCGCACCTCCACAAATGCGTACGGCACAAAGAGTCAAAAAAGATCTCGGTTTTGGGGTTTTTTTTTAAGTTCTGTAGAGAATAAAAAGTTTGGAGATTTAAAGTAAAATACTAAAATGACGATTGTAAGTACAATGGGCGGCTGGGTGGCTCAGTCGTTAGGCGTCTGTCTTCGGCTCAGGTCATGATCCTAGGGTCCTGGGATTGAGCCCCGCATCGGGCTCCCTGCTCAGAGGGGAGCCTGCTTCTCCCTCTCCCACTCCCCCTGCTTGTGTTCCCTCTCTCGCTGTCTCTCTCTGTTAAAAAATAAATAAAATCTTTAAAAAAAAAAAGAAAAGCTTTAAAAAGGACCCAATGTAAATTACATAAGAGATGTGTACCAGGTACTGAATACACAGTTGTGATGTAAACCTCAATTCTAAATTCTTTTTTCTGAGTGTTGAAATATGGTCAGCCTGACGGCTTAGTCAGTCGCCCGATCTTTGCTCATTTGCAGTTTCATTGCTGGTTATTGTTCCACAGCTTCCACCTCACCTTATACTCAAGAGCACCCCAACGGCTGACACACCGGCTCCAGTCCCGCCCCCTTTTCGAAACCACAGAGAAGCGGCCTCCAGGGGCTAGAGCGGCCCAGCTGGGAGGGCGGCCATAGCTCCGCACCGAGTGGGCTGCAGAGACCCACTCCACGCAGCGTTTGATCAGCGTGCTGACCTAACGCTTGATGGAGGGTTTCCCACCATGGTTGGTATTTTTTTTTTTTTTTTTTTACCAGTATAGTGCTTGGGAGCATTTATTCTGTTTTGATAATTATGTAGCCAATTAACATTCAACAGAGGTTAACAACCATGATCCCTATCACCTTTGCCCGCCAAACAGAAAAGATTTCTTAAACATTCCAGGAGTGCGACGCACGGATCTTAATAACAGTCGCTATGCTGATTCTATCAGCCTTGGAGAATCCAAAATGAGCATTACTAGGCTGTGCGGAAAGAGACTTGGACCAAACACAGTGACAAAGCAGAGCCCTACAGTACTAAAAATCTGTGGTTACAGATGAGGACAACTTAGAAACATGTCTTTGAAAAGCACGGCGAAAACTACAACTGGTTCTTTCTTGCACGTCCCACTACATTTGCTGTCATTGACAATTCAGTGTACCTGTTGTTTACTAGGGCTTTATCACAACCTTTCTATCTGGGCCACACTATAACATGGCAACCTCCCATACGTGACTGTGGAAAGAGAAATTGTCAAGTATAGAGTCTGAAAGACAGCCTTCTCTGCCAAGTCTGAGAAGTGTGTATATCGAAGTGTGGTTTGGAAGTTATCTGAAGACTTTCAGCCGGCAATTGGCCTCAAACAAGCTGGAGTTCTAGCAGAAAATGCAGAGGAGTCTGAAGGAAGAGTTGTATTTAATTCAAAACCATTTGCACATCTTATTCAAGAGACAATGTATAATAATCCTCAGCAAGTAGTAGAAGGCTGCTGTTCAGGTATGGCTATTACTTTTAATGGACCAGCTCCCAGAAAGATGATAGTAATGGTGTGCACTGGTTCAGGGCATTCATTATTTCAACAGTACACTGGTTTTCTTACCTCCAAATGGTTCAGAAAATGACTGAAGGCTGAGGGATAATAGAATTGTGCTGTGCAAAAGCACTTGAAATGTGGATCCACTTGAAGTATGAATTGAGATATGTAAGTGTAAAATACGTAATTCATTAATACATCTATTATTTGAATTAGCAATAATTGCGCCTCGGATAAACCTCATTGGCTATGATACTGCCACTGCACACAGCTTATTATTTGAAAACCTAATATGAAAAGTATAAACTCAGTAATTTTTATATTAACTCGCATTGAAATATTTTCAATATGTTGCATTAAATATAAAATTATTTTTCATTTTATTTTGTTTAATAGAAAATTTTAAGTTATATATGTGTCTCATATTATATTTCTATTGGATAACAAAAGTAAAACATTCCATTGCCACCATATATGGCAGTTTAACCGTTTGTCCACACAGCAACATTTTTAAGACCATTTATTGAAGGGATCTAGCTTCTAGAAGAGGTTTCAAATATTTGGGTGTATAAATAGATATTTCCTAAGTGTATTCTCTGGACCCCATATCATCTTTAATTTTTGTGAAAATATTTCAAATGTTTAATAAGCCAGTACTGTTGTCTAAAAGCATTTTATTGAGTTACTGTGTAGACTATGGCACTATGTAAAAGCCGTTGGACAAGCACTATCTCTCTCCTGTGTAGGATATTCTTTAAACCAAAAAAACCAACTGGCATGCACATGCCAGCACTACATTCTTCCACTACTGGCAATATGCTGATAATTGTCACCTCTACAATGTAACCACTTTACGTTATTAGGGAAAATTTTGCACTTGTGGAGCCTTAACCTCAATTTTGAATATTGTTGAGGTTGCCAGGAAAATCCACAAACAACTTGTTGATCTGTAAAATTTTGCTGGTCAAAAAAAAGACTACTGTCACACCTATTACAATGGCCAAAATCCAGAACATCGACAACACCAAATGCTGACGAGGACATGGAAAAACAGGAACTTTTCATCCATTGCTCATGGGAATGCAAAATGTTAACAGCAAGTTTGGAAGACAGTTTGGCAATTTCTTAAAAAACTAAACATACTCTTACCATATAATCTAGCAGTCACGCTCTTTGGTATTTATCCAAAGGAGCTGAAAACTTATGTCAACACAAAACTGCATCCAGATAGATGTTCACATCAGCTTTATTCATAATTGCCAAAACTTGGAAACAATCAAGATGACCTTCAGTGGGTGAATGGATAAATAAACCATGGTACATCCAGACAATGACATATTATTTGGCACTAAAAGGGAATGAGCTATGAAGCCATGAAAAGACATGGAGGAAACTTAAATGCATATTATTAAGTGAAAGAAGCCAACTGGAAAAGACTGCATATTGTATGATTCCAGCTGAGGTGAGGGATAAATAAACAGGGCACAGAAGCTTTTCAGGGCAGTGAAAATACTCTGTATGATATCATAATGATGGATACATGTCACTATACATTTGTCCAAATCCATGGAATGTAAACCAAGAGTGAAACTATGGACTTTGGGTTTTTATCATGTGTCAATGTAGATTCATCAGTTGTAACAAATGTACCATTCTAGTGGGGGATGTTGGTAATGAGGGAGGTTATGCATGTGTAGGGGCAGGGAATATATGAGAGATTTCTGTACCACCCACCTTTTTTTTTTTTAGATTTTATTTCTTTATTTGACAGAGAGAGACACAGTGAGAGAGGGAACACAAGCAGGGGGAGTGGGAGAGGGAGAAGCACGGAGCAGGGAGCCCAATGTAGGGCTCGATCCCAGGACCCCGGAATCATGACCTGAGCCGAAGGCAGACGCTTAATGACTGAGCCACCCAGGCACCCCCCACCCAACTTTTCTGTGAACCCTAAACTGCTCTTAAAAAAATAAAGTCTTAAAAAAGACTGAACAGGGGTCGCCTGGGTGGCTCTGTCATTAAGCGTCTGCCTTTGGCTCAGGTCATGATCCCAGGATTCTGGGATCGAGCCCCGCATCGGGCTCCGAGGCCTGCTTCTCCCTCTCCCACTCTCTCTGCTTGTGTTCCCTCTCTCGCTGTGTCTCTCTCTGTCAAATAAATAAAATCTTAAAAAAAAAAAAAGACTGAACAGTTTCTTAAGAAGATTGCTATGGTCTGCATGTTCGTGCGCCCCCCCCCCCACATTCACATTGGAATCTTAATGCCCAATGTGATGGTGATTAAGTCCTGAGGGTGGGACTCTCATGAATGGGATTAGTGCTTTTGATAATAGAGATCCTACAGAGCTCCCTAGCCTCTTCTGCCAAGTGAAAATACAAGAAGTCCAAGACCCAGAACCTGACCTTGCTGGCACCCTGATCTCAGACTTCCAGCCTCCAGAATTGTGAGAAATAATTTCTATTGTTCATAAGCTACACGGTCTGTCATATCTTGTTAGAGCAGCACAAATGGACCAAGGCAGAAATTTGACACTGAGACTGGAGCGCCACTGTCACAAATACCTAAAAATGTGGAAGTGACTTTTGGAATTGAGTAATTGGTAGAAGCTGGAAGAATTTTGGGTGCACGGTAGAAAAAGCCTGCATTGCCATGAACAGACCATTTAAAGCAATTCTGGTGAGAACTCAGAAGGCGAACAGCAAAGAAAGCTATATAGGGAAAGCCTCAGTCTTCTCAGAGAATACCTAAGTGGTTGTGAACAGTGTTAGTAGAAATATGATGGATGGTAAAGGCCATTCTGATGAGGTCTCAGATGGACATGAGGAACATGTTATTGGAAATGAGAGGAAAGGTGATCCTTGTTATAAAGCAGCAAACGGCTTTGCTGAATTGGATTCTCCTCTTGGGGTTTTGTGGAAGGTAGAACTTGTGAGCAATGAAACTGGATATTTGCTGAGGAAATTTCTAAGCCAAGTGTTGAAGGAGTGGCCTAATTCTTCTTGAATGCTTAGAGTAAAATGTGAGAAGAGAAATGATTTAAGATAGTTAATCAAAGAGGAAGTGGAATCTAAAAATCTGGATACTTTCCAGCATATCCATATTGGAAGAAATGGGAAAAAGCTTGTTCAGGAGAGGACAGGGTGTGGCCAAACCACCTTTTGATTAAGGGGTCAGTATGGGTTTGAACCACAGAGTTAGGTAGCAACTGAAGAAGGAAAAGTCCGTGTGAACTGAAGAGGAAGGGATTGGGCTGGCTGTTGGACTTGGATTTTATAGGATGGGATCTTAGAGCTATATGGCTGTGACATTGGGCTATTCTTCAAGACAAGGAGAAAGGACCCCAGCTCGTTAGAGCTGCCTCCTCAGTTTCACAAGGCCGGGACGGGACTTTCCTGAGTTTCAACAAGCCACACAACCTCTACCCAAACCAAAGTGGTGCTGCCCAAAGCCATGGGGGGCCAACCCCTGCCCAGGAGAGCCATGGGAGCATGGCTACCTCCACCTAGATTTGGAAAGATGAAGCCACCCAGAACTGTGGGTGTACAACCCAAGCACAGGGCCTCCTCTGGTGCAAGGCCACCAGAGAGCCCCAACCAGGGCAATTCCTAATGAAGCCGTGGGGGTGAGGCCACCCCTGCGATCCCAGACTGGTAGAACCATTGGCAGGCAACTTCAACCCATGAGAGCTGCCCTGCAAAGTCATGGGGCTGCCAATGTCCCTGAGGGCCCAGAAGGTGAGACCCTTCCTCCCCCCTTCACCCCCCCGAGTTGGTCCAGAAGGTAGGACCTCCATCCCAGAGGGCTAAACATTTAGTTAAAATTATTCTCAAACCTTAAGATTTAACATTAGTTGCCTTGTGGCGTTTTGAACTTGCTTGGAACCTGTTACCCCTTCCTTCTCTCCTATGTCTCCCTTTTGGAATGAAAATATCTATCCTAGGTCTGTCCCACCATTGTATTTTAGAAACACGTAATTTGATTTCACAGATTCACAGCTGGCAGGGATTTCCTTAGAATGAATCATACCTTAAGTCTCACCCATACCTGGTTTAGATGAGACTCTGCACTTTATAGACTTTTAGGGCTGTTGGGATGGAATGAATGTATTTTGTATGAGAGAAGGACATGAATTTGAGGAGCCAGGGATGGAATGCTATGGTCTGAATGTTTATATCCCCCCTAAAGTTCACATGTTGGAATCCTAACACCCACTGTGGTGGTGTTAGGAGGAGAGGTCTTTGGGGGGTGGTGGGGTTTGGGGGGGGGGGGGGGGGGGGGGGCTCATGAATGGGATTAGTGCCCTTATCAAAGAGATCCCACAATGCTCCCTAGCCCTTCCACTGTGTGAGGATACAATGAGAAGTCTGCAACTCCAAAGAGAGCCCTCACCTGACTTAGCTGGCACCTTGATCTCAGATTTCCAGCCTCCAGAACTATGATAAACTTCTGCTGTTTAGAAGTTACATAGTCTATAGCATTTAGTTATAGCAGAACAAACTAAGGCAAGGACTATACAAATATCTGGTCAGATTTCTCTTTCTGAAGTTTGGTTTCTAGTGTTAACAGGGCAGAAGCCTTGTCTCTTTTCCCAACTATATTGCAAGTTGCTTGAAGACAGACTTCATGTGTGTGGACCCGTTATATCTTCCATAACACCTTGCACATACCAGCCATACAGTCAAATTCTAAAAGCTCGGTAGCAATAAATAACCTTATAAAAAAAAGTTTATTTCCATTATAAAAAGCATCACACCTAACACACACACACACATACACTATTTCACAAGACTTGGGATATAAGTTTATATATAAACAGGCTAAATGTGCTGGAAGAAAACATTATATGTATATGACTTTGATTATAAGTTAAATAAAGCACCTATTCAAAAAGTCATTTTTGCTTTTTTATTTAAAAAAAAAAAAGTGTAGGGGCACCTGGATGGCATAGTCAGTTAAGTTTCTGACTCTTGGTTTTGGCTCAGGTCGTGATCTCGGGGTTGCGGGATCAAGCCTCCGGTTGGGCTCTGTGCTCAGTATGGAGTTTGGGATTCTCTCTCCCTCACCCTCTGCCCCTCCCCCCTGCTCTCTCTCTCTC